ATTCAGCATGTTCTTTTATAGCTGAAATTCAAGCCATCAGGAACACCAACATCTTTTTGACTCCCCCACATAAGTGAATGAGCACGACTTGCATTTGAATGTGTACACAATAGCTTTTGTTCGCATTTCCTGTGGTCTTTCTTTAGGTTTTTTGAATACATTTTCTAATGTGACTATTGGCTTGAATGCTGTCCGAACGCCTGCTCGAGTTAAGATGCTTTTGACTTTTTCCGACACACCTTTATTGTTCGATGCTGAATTAATATAAACGAGTATGTTTATGACATTCAGTATATATTTCATAATTTCCAGTCTTAAATCCGTCTAACCGCGTAGCTCAGTTGGTAGAGCGCCGATCTAGAAATTCGAAGGTTGCGGGTTCAAAACCCAGCCGCGGCAGACATTATGGAAATTATATAATGCACACTCTAGAACATTTTCATCTTAACATATTACGGAGTGTACAATTACACAACGTAACATAACACTTGCAGAACTAGTATTGTTCGATGCTGAATATATACGAGTACCAAGTATCTTTATGATATTCAGTAATAATATAAACGAGTATGTTTATGACATTAGTATATATTTCATAATTTCCAGTCTTAAATTCGTCTGATCGTGTAGCTCAGTTGGTAGAGCATTGATCTAGTAATTCGAAGGTTGTAGGTTCGAATCCCATTGTGGCCAGGCATATTTTTCAAGCCTGCCCGGTGTGGATATACACTCAGTGTAACATTACAAAAGCATCTTATTCACCTGAGTACATTACACCAACTCAGCAAAATTTGATGATTATTAGATTATACTGATATAGAAGGAACTAGACTCAGTTCCGAAATATCGCATACTCGAACCATCCTGACCGCGTAGCTCAGTTGGCAGAGCATTGGGCCAGTATTCCAAAAGTCGTAGGTTCAAATCCCACCGTGGCCAGGCATATTTTTCAAGCCTGCCCGGTGTGGATATACAATCAGTGTAACATCACACAAGCATCTTATTCATATATATATATATTAAAATATAGTCACAACTCGGAGTTTCATGCTCAATGCGATCCTCAGGCGGCGATGTTTGCGTTTTGGTTTCGGAACCGAAACTCAAACATTGTCGCTAAAAACATCGAGTTTAATGATCTTGAATTATGCATAATTGATTTTCCTAGTTAGTTTTTTCAATTAAAAGGTCTGAAATGAGCCTTAAACCATCATTCAAAAGGTTGAACTGTGCCTTTCATTAGGGAATGGTCCATTAATTCGGATGACTTTAAGACTAACTAGACCGTCCCCTCCCTACAGCCACCTACTTTATCAAAACATACTCCTACTCTGAATAATTCTGAAAGCCCTGTATTAGTGCGCAGAGGTAAGTAAGTTTCCTGGTCCCGAAGTCGAGGCAAATAGTGAGGAATTCATCATTCAAAGATGAATTAATTCGTAGTTGAGGGACTAAATGTGTCATAACAGCCTTGTTCTTCAAAACTACTTGTCAAATATGATCAAATATATTAAGATAACCAAGTTAAGTTGTTTTTATCACAAATGATTCTTTGCAAAGAAAAGTTTCCGGAGATTCTATGATCTCTTCACTTTGCCTGACAACTCTTACCGAGACCTTGGTATTTTCGGATATCACAAAACCCGAATTCAAAAATTGCATTACACATTGCATTCTATTTAAACTCCTTCGAAAAACAATGATTTAAATTCTTTCGCACAAAACAACGTTTTCAAAAAGCAAAAATGTAGTAAAAACCATGTATCATGGGCTCATTCTATACAGATATAAAAAATTTGCCAGCAGTTAACTCCGTTTCTGTAGGTTGCGTGATTGTCATATTTAGCTTTATGCTATTAGCCAATTAGAAGACTCGTAGTGACTACAATGTATAATAAAAGCCGTAACCATGCGAGTGCCCTGTGTCGTTTGGCGTTATAAAAAAATAAAATACCAATTGAAAGTCTTTTTCTATACAGGTATGATAAGTTAACTGTGTTGCACTTACCATCTATATTGATCTCCGAAAGACATTTCCCGACCCAGTTGCATGCGTTCCCCCCATCTACTACCAGCAACAGTTTGCTCACTTTCGCGATTTCAATGGTCGATTCGTGCAGCCGATAGTATTAACGATGGACTTTGATATCGTGTCCGAGATGTCGGGCAAGCCATTCCACTTCCGTTTCCTTCAGCGCGAACACTTGCGAGATTGTCGCGATGTATTTTCTCAGCTTGGTACCCGTCACATCTTCAGGATTAGAGAGGGGTGGCTCGCACTCTTTTGCAAATCTCTTTAAACAGTCACAAGCCCGGATATGCTTCAAGGACTGTTTTGTTGGCCTTGCAAACACGAATGGATTTTTGTCTGGGATCCCAACATTTTTCCTAGTGTGGATAAGAAGGTAAATGCTTTCTTTAATGTCTTTTGTTAAGACGATTGGCACCTTATTTCCTTGTTTTCCTCTGATTTACACCATGTCGAGTCTGTAAAAAATATTAATCTCCAATAAGGCATAAGCTATAGATGAAGTAAACTGGTCACCATCCAAATAAGAAGACCAAGAAAAAACACATGATGTTGCATTTTGTCATTTACATATCAAAATATTCTTTAATGGTTTCACATAAAATACTAACATCTTCCTGAACGATAGCTTGGCAGCATTAAGGTAAGGTAATATAAATTTGAATTCTGTGTGTTTTAAATATTCGTAATCATTCACTAATTCAGATCATTTTGTTTTTCACAGCACTCATCCTGGTTGGCTCAAAGACCGGAAAATGTTCAATAAAATGTTTAATAAATTCGATTAATATTTTGGTAATGACGACACGAACAATATCTATGTCATAGCTATGTCATAGCTATGTCATAGCTATGTATATCCACATATAGTATATTCATATCCAGAAGTAGAAATCAAACAGAAGTAGAAATCAAAGATTTTCTTCATCTGAAATTACCGATGTGTGATTATTACGTGTAGTTTTTTATCTGTTACATCTGTAATTATAATCATAAATGATGTAGCTGGTACTCACTGTTTCAAAAGTTTTCGTTCAAACGTGTTTAGAGACTTCATTATCTCTGTGCTGTTGGCCTTCCCCCAGTCTGGTCTTTTTTTATATGTTTCAACACGAAGCTCCGAAACCTCCCCCCCCCCCCCTCTGCGTTTGTTAACATGACCAATCTGGTTAAACTGGATTGGGCCAACAGCCTCCAATCGCCCAAATTGGGATGTTTTTTTAGTGACTTCATTGACCTGCAAATTTTAAGGTCAATGTGTTTTCTCAGTTTATCAAGGTCCTCGGCAAGAGGCAATACATTGACCTTATTAAATTTACGCTTGCGGAGAGTAGTCAGCGAATGGTGGGAGATGCGATGCGACCATTCGGTCTCCAAAAGCTGTCGGAAATTTTTGGCAGATCTTTCTGCTGCTTCATCCTCAACGCGTAACCAATGACGATGTTAACACACCTCTTCAACGCATAACCAATTTTTAATGCGAGGGATGGCGTGCCTTGAGATCGCAACTTGTGCCACATCCGCCTTCCTCTCGGTTGATCCGCTTGGAAACCTAAGTGCTGTGATGACGTGTTCCTCCTTCGGGTGATTTCTGGACATATGGCATGGCAGCTTTGTGGTTAATTCTCCGCAGTAGCAACATGCCTGCTTTTTTCGACCTCTGGCCTGGTCTAATGGGAGAAAAAAAGGAACGTATGTAAAAATTTTAGTTGTTAATCATAACAACGTATGATACTGGAATGTACAAATATGCACAGCAGTAGTGTATATTTACGGGTTCTAGCGCATTTTTGATCTGCTTTCTAAACCGGTTTAAACCTGTTCAGTAAATGTCGATTAATGAATGACGTCATTAATTAATTCAGGCTCGCTCCGTCCCTTTAACGCATTTCTTTTTCGAAATTCAATTATGACGTCATCAATCACGTGATCATTTTCCAAAGAATTCAATGATGACGTCATCACGACTTTTGAAATGATTTTTTTTTAATCCTTCCGAGAGAGCTGGTAGTGTCCTATTGCTAAAGTGTGTATTCCGTCGGATAGTATAACACGCTTATCGTCGTTTGCCGAAAGTGCTGTTTTGTTAATTCTTTCGGAGACAAAGTGTCTTATAGAGAACCTCATGTATAATAAACAATGGGAAGAGAGAATATGTTCGAACATTACACTAAGGAGAGGGTGTACGACCAGAAGCCGAAGGCGGAACCGTATCAGAAACGTTGTTCGGCTTGTATGATTTGGGCTAGCCGGAAGGGTATTATCAAGGACTTTTGGTGTAAGCATATGAAACATAATCTTAGGTATTTTAGGTAATTTTTTAATGGACTTGGATCGTTAAGAAAAAAAAAATGTATATAATAAAGAAAGGATGTCCATTACCAAAGTTTCAGACTTTACCAAAGACTCGTTCGCTTTCGAAGATGCCGTCGGAAACAGATACGGGTCCAAGAAGATTAAATTAACGGCACGGGATCAGGGTCCGCTTCTGTTGGAACTCACGGATTGTTTGTCCTATGGAGTGAGCAGAAACAACAAGTTTGATAAGAAAAATTACTCCATCTCCCTAGCCCTGAGGGACAAGGAGGAGTTTGTGTCAGCCCTGGAACTGGTGGAAAAGGAGTCCGCCAACCATGTTGGTAAGTCAGGCGAAAACACCATGAAATGTCTTTACCGGAAGGGCAGCACCCCGATCCTATACGCAAAGATCGACGGTGAAACGGAGATCTACCCTCCGAAAGGAGACAAGCCCACGCACCGCAGGAAGTATCAGGATAAGAGGTTCCACCTTGATGCGATCGTCAGGATTGAAAGCATCTATGTGTCCAGCAGTACAACCTCCATTCAGGTAAAGCTACACAAGGCAAACATATTGGAAGAAAAGCCTAAGGTACCGAGGAAGAGACTTTTACGAAAGCGGGATTAGGAATGCTAGCAGAACCAATTTTAATGTTTGTAAGAACATTAAAATTTAAGTAGCATCGACATTTTCCTCCTTTTCCGGACAGCTTACCTTCGAGCTGATCACGTGTTTTCCGACAGTGATTCCACCACTCAGTATTCCGATAAGTGGAATGTATGGTGTTACATAACTGACAAGGTTTTTTATATCTTTTCTAAGCAGATTGTTTTCCTCCAGTTCTTTTTTCATTCCTTCGGAATCCTTAACGGCATCCAGTGCTTCCATGAGTTCAGAGAACTTGGTGATGATAACATCAGCCAGTTGGTTGTTTGTGTTTTCCAGCTGTTGTCTTTCGTAGTCCTTGTATATATTTTCCAGCGTCTTTTCAGATGCCTTTTTGATGTATTTTGAGGTATACTTGATTTCATTCGCATCGGTCAGCTTCAGTAGATTTTCCCTTAGATCGCTTACGACAGGTGTTTCGGTCGTCTCAGGTTCTACAGATTCGAATATGGTTTCCATTCCTTTATTTAATATGCGGAATAATTGTTTTGTGGGTATAGGGTCGGTGTAATAGTATTTCCAGTCTGGCATAGTCGTTGTTCATTAGCGTATCGACAATTTCCTTCCTTTCTTCTTTCTTCACTTTTGCAAGGTATTCATCCATTAAGGCGTTCGTATCTTTTCCGCTCGGATTGTAAAAGGTTATGAGTTTAGATATATTTTCCCTATAGGGTTTTGCAATAGATGTAAGCTGCTGGGTAATGACAACGGTTGATATTCCCTTATGTCTAGCACTGAACCCAAGTTCCACCAATTCACCGGTTCTATTTTTGACGGATTGACTGCTTGCACAGTCGTCAAGGATGATGAGACTGTTTGTTTCTTCTGCAAACCGTGAGACGTATTCTAAGCACTGGTTTACGTCGTCCTGTTTGCAGGGTATGACTATAAAGTCCTTATCCTTATTGTATTTCCAGTTATGATACGTTTTGTTCCATTTGTATGTGGGACATATTAGAAATATATACTCGAAGTGGTTTTTGTAGTCGTTCTCCAGCATTTCCAGTAGGTGGTAGGTTTTTCCGCATCCAGTCATTCCGAGAATGATCCTGTTGAACGGTGTTTTTAGTGGTTCCATCTTTTATTTAGTAGCTGATGCTTTGAAGGGTCTTTTCGCTGATGTTTATGAGTCCGTCGGATAGCACAAAGATGTTACAGAGGAAGTCTTCGGTAATAGTATCCGTTTCGATCTCTAGAAGAATTCCAGGATTGTCGCCGAGGATCTTTTTTCCACTTCCAACAATGTGACTGTCATCAACAGCTCTCATGTCAATTACCAGTGCGAATTTATCTCTGTAGAATTTCCTAACGTTTATGTCGTTGTTACAAGCGTTGTTGGCCATTCCGAACAGTCTTTTTGCTTCGTCGTAAAAATTCTCGTATGTTAGTCCCTGACTGTATACTGCATTTGGTTTTCCATCTATTGTGACCTTTACCTTTTCGATAGACGGGAAGACGTATTCTTCGCTGTTGGTTACCGTTCTTTTTCTGAAAAGTAGGACCACAGCCCTCTCATGCTTTCCCTCGGAACGTCTGTGGTTTCGTTAAACCTTGCTTTGCCAGATGACTTCGCCCACACAGTTGTTTTCAACAGTGTTGCGTGTTCATAGGATAGGGACCTACCGGTTTCGTATCCTTCGTTTACCCGTTTGGCCAGTTCTTCATTCTCAATAGTTTCGTATTCCAAGTGTATATTCTTCAATGCATATCCTTCCACCTTCTCGTTTGACTGTGCAACCATAATCTTGTCGGCTTTTGGGAGGGTTACCGTGTACTCGAATCCGCTCTTCATGCTGTACGGTGTGTAAGGACCATGGTCATTAAGTATTTTTCCAAGTTTCATTTTCTGCTCCTTGTATACCTTTGCCATTACCAGGTCATAACCGCCGTCCTCCTTTGCGGTCTGATCGACACTGTCATCCTTCGATAACATCTTTCTTGTGTTTTCGTTCATAATCCCATATTCTACCATGTTCGCTCTTTTTGGGTCAGTCTTCCAGAGATCTTTGTAGACTTCGATGAGACTTTCACCGTTATTGTCGTATACTATCTCACCTCCCACTCTTATCATAAGCCGCTCGCATAGAAGTTTACCGAGGTTATTCATGAACCAGGATTTAGTGTTTTCGTTCTTGAACTCATATGATAGACGGAATGAGTCTGGAACGATGCAGGTGTTCGGTTCCAGTTTTGGAACTACAATCCGAATGTCATTTCCAGGGTTGGATTCGTTCGGGGTGAATGTAACATAGTTACATACCCTGTTTCCTACAACGTTGGAGGTTAGTGCTCTTTTGAAACCAGGCGTAAGTTCTTGACTTCTACTTTCCATTCCTTTTATTATAGTATATTAATTATTAAATTTTTCGAACTTTGGTTTCGCTTCGCTTTGCCTACGGTCCGACTCATCCTGTACTTGTTGTGGTTCTGTTGTATGATTAGACTTATCCGCAGGTCTGACTTTGCAGTATATGTAGTAGATTCCTCCTAGCGTAACTGCTGCAGCTCCAGCGTAAATTAGTGTATTTACTGAATCGTCTTGATCGAGGCCATTTTCAGCGTTACGTCTTTCTTCGGCCCTCCTTGCTTTTGCTTCCCTAGATATTGCAGCCAGTCTTTTACCTGATTCTACCCTTCTCGGATCCTTCGGTTTCTGAGTCTTTTCTGCTTTCGCTATTGTCGGTTCATTCATGCTTTATTTAATATACTTACTTTTTAGAATTTCTAGTCAGATCTAGTTAAATTCTAGTCAGAGCTAGTTGCAACATAACCTTAACTAAATTTCAGCATAACCTTAACTAGGTTTAGCATCTAGTTAAATTCCAGTTAAATCCAGTCAAGTTTTAGTCAGGTTCTAGTCAGAGCTAGTTGCAGCATAACCTTAACTAGATTTCAGCATAACCTTGACTAGGTTTAGCATCTGGTTAAAGTCTAGTTAAATTCTAGTCAGAGCTGGTTGCAACATAACCTTAAATAGTTTAAGAAAATCAACTTAGGATAATTTCAGAACCAACTTAAAGAAATAATTTTCCATATAATAAAAGGTATGGACTTTCCTATGACAGTATCGGAAGAGATCCGTCAGTTGGAGTCGCCTCCCTCAAATTGGTTGACTCTCTTCAGACAGGCGAAAAAGGAGTATCTAGATCTTCTTGCTTTAGAGGAACCTGTGAAGTTTCCGAACAAGCATTTCTGCTCTGAGGGACACAGACATCATCTCGTCTCCACGGACGGGTTTCGAATGTGTTGGTCATGTGGATCAGTTGTTGGTAGGATCCTCAATCCCGGTTACAGCCACGATTGTAGGGACAGTGTGATTACGAGAAGTCAGGGAATAGACATTGATGGTAGGTTCGAATCATTCTGTACCAGAAGGAAAATAACATATTCCGATCTATCAGCACATGAAAGACGTTCGATAGCAGAAAACATTCGGAAAGTTTATAAGGCAGAAAAAACTGAAAGAAAGAGACTTCCTAATCTCAATATTCTAACTTACCAGATATGTAAAAGACGTAACATAAAGTTGAACGAGAAGCTTCTTAATATTCCGGTAAGCAAAATTTTCACACAACT